AATCAACATAATTTATGGAGGTCAACCACTTGCTCCAGTGAGCGACCGCGAATACCCAAAACTCTGCCCCTAACCTCAGCATTGCCTAAGCGGCTATCCCACCAGATTCGTGCAATGCTGCGTAGACAGCGGTGTTCAAACACCGACAGTCTATCTTTATCCTGTTTTCTTAATGGTCAAGTTTCTGTCCCATATAGCAGGACTGGCCGAACTGCTGCAGCATACACTCGACCCTTCACAGACAGTCGGATGTCGCGACGGCGCCACGGATGTCTTAAGTTGGCAAATGCCAACCGAGCCTTCTGTATGCGACCTGACACTTCATCTGAAGCCTCTGGGGGCGGTCAACGTGAGGACTCTGATGCAGATGGGTTAAAATGCGTGTCTGGTGCGTAGAATGGACTCTTTAATGATTGATGTCTGCTGCATATCGGAGACGCGAATCCTAGTGCCATGGGCCATTCAAGTGCACTGGAGTTGTCTTCGACGTACTTCCTTCGCACGTCAGGTGACAACGAAGCTCGTTTAGTAGGCTAACGTGGTGTAGGCATCGTACTCAATAATACGGCCGAAGTGTCACTAATCGATTGGATTTCCGCCAACAGTCGCTTGTGTGCGATGCGACTACAAGGGTCTACCAGCGTCCGGAAGGGAAACAACACTAAAAGGTTTTCCATCATTTCAGCGTATACAACGACCAAATGCCGTTCTGAAGCACAAAATAGGTGATTCTAGTGGTTCTAGCAGGTGATTTTAATGTTCAAGTCGGAAAACTGAGCGCATCGAAAGCCTGCCTAGGCGGTCATTGTGATCGACTTGTTCATTTTATCGCAGATCGTCATCTGTTCTTATCCCGTACCAACCTCCGATACAGCTCTCAAAGGACAGCAACGCAGCACTCAATCAACTAATAGACTAACTCAAATCGACCACATAGCAATGAGCTACCGTTGGCGTGTCTCAATACAAATCATACCTCGACGGCTGACACCGTGTAGGGAGATAAATATCCGTGAACAACAAGCAGGATTTCGACCAGGTTGCGGTTCTCGACCAGATCATCACACTGCGGTAAGTCTTCGAGCTACGTCATACATACCATCGACTAACGGTCGTCGCGTTCTTCAACCTAAAAGGAGTCTTCAACTCAGCTGACCGCGAAAGCCTTATGGGTTCCCTCCTTGGCAAAGGAATGCCGCAGAAGTGTGAGTTCACCTTATTCACGTTTCTGGTGGTGTAAGGGTCTAAGGCGAGCTGAGTAGGTCGTTCTTAACTAGCAGCAGTGTTTGTCAAGGGTGTTCCATTTCGCCATTCTTGTTCAATTTCGTCATAGATGAAATACCGGGGAACACATCAAGTGGTGTCCGAAATGTTGGTATTGAATGGGCAACCGAAAAAGCTGTGCTATCTAGAGTACACTGACATCGTTTAAGTATATGAAGAATGCACAAAGCGCACCTGACAGACTAGAAAGTTCTGTTGCTCCGTTCGGTATCCGCTTCGCATCTTCAAAGTGCAAAGCGATGCTCCATGATTGAGTGTCGCCGAGTTCCGTTCTGAAACTAGACGGTCAGGAATTATCCGAAGTTGACTGATGCTCGTACCTGGGTATCTGTGTGATCAACAACGGTAGCGCACCAAAGGAGATCACCATCTGCGTTTCCAAGGCTCGAACAGCCTACGTAGGACTAAAACACTTTTCGAGACGACGTGACGCTTCACTGAAGTTGAAAAGTTGCGTTTAGTGCGCCACTGCACGATCAGTTGAGACCCTGAATTTCCGGATAGAAGACACCGTCGCCTAGTGGTTTTCGACAATCGATGCTTAAATAGTCTGGCCCAGGTTGGACCGAGTGAGCGGTTCAGTAACCTTAGTCATCAGGTGTTTGGGAAAGCATCCAACACGAACTCCCTGTCGCATCGAATTCAGCTCAATAGGCCTCATTGGTTAGGATACGTTTTGCGTATGTCTAACGGTGACCTACCGTAACACAGTTCATTAACAGTTGCCGTGGCAAACTGCAGAAAGCCACGTGGAGGCTAGCAGATGACGTGGAGACGTGACGACGAAAAAATGCAGAACAAATAGGTAGAGTAGGTGCCTCACGTCTTCCGGGTTAGGGTCCAACAGAATCCGTACCGGCATGATTGGAGACACTGAAGGTCACGGCTGTGAACGGACAGCAATGGCGATCTTGCTGTCACTTCTTATTAGACCCGAATAATATGCACAACTGGACAGTGCATTGTGCCGACCATACATTTTTGTTTTTGTTTCCGTCCACAAAAGTAGATCCATCCTTATCCCTGTTACACATTCTCACTTACCTTGTACGCATCATGAGCTTCGCAGCGAGCACTGAAATTCGCTTCACTGGATTACGCTGGACAGTGATGTTCTTTCCGAGTCAAATGCTTAAGTCCTGCTTCATCACATAAATATTCACCGGTTTGCGAAAAATCATAGTAACCGAGCAAAAACAATACTAACGGGCTATTGAAATAAAAGTTGTTATTCTACCTAGGTTCGAAAATCGTGCCCGAAGGTTGAAGAAGCCAGTGTGAAGAGTGAACTTACCACTGCACATTGCAGTCATGAGTTCAATGACAAACAAAAGCGCTCGGTGAAGACGAAGCAGAGTTCGGCAACCGATGTGCTTCTTATTTTTCACTGTACCGGTGATTCCAAGATCATGCTCATATTTCGTCATAATATTGATTGTTTTATAGTCGGTTGGATTAGATTCGTGGTACTCATAAAGAATACGGAGCTTCTGTTCAACATCGCGGTTAACAAAGTAGAAGAGCTTCCCAAAGTACGGGAGTAACCTAATAATTCGTCATTATATGAGAGTTACACAATGGGTACTACTTGGCAACTTCAGTGTAAGCATCGCAGTATTCTTTTAACCAAACATCTTCCTCCCGACAGCAACCGGAAAACAGTTTTATTAGCAATTGAATGTCCAAAAGATTATTCCCCGCTGGATACTCCATGAATACTTGACCTGAGTTGAATGTGAAAATAAATAAAGTTGCAGTGCTGCAGGTACGTCCAGCTGGTGGCCAAGTGACCTTGAAGTTGAACTCAGTTCAGTTCAAAGTCCAGTTCAGGTCAGGTCAGGTTGCACAGGACTGATAATGTCTTGAAGTCTTGAAGTCTTGAAGCGACTCTCGGGTTCGAGGCTGGCGCCCAATGGTCCCGGATCCTTGATGGTTTCTTGTTTTC